TAAAAAATAAAAATAAATACATAATAATAATACATAGAATAATTAATTAAATAAAATAAGTAATAAAATGAAATAAACAAAATACAATAAAATAAAATAAAGTACAGCAAAGTAAAATAAAGTACAATAAAATAAAATAAAATAATAAATTAAAATAAATTACAATTTTTTTTAAATAGAATTCCATACAATTAAATAAACACTGTATGTTGTAACTGTTTGAATTATTAGATGAACCTAATTTTCAGTGTTGAATCGTTTTTACTTAGCATGCTGAAAGTTAATTGCACAAAAACATCCTTTTGATTGTAGGCAACAACCGTCTCCAGCCATGCTGCCGGGCAGTAATTATGTGCAGTGCTGCTCTGAGCGAAGCTCTGATATCAGCCTGCAAACATTGTTGTAATGTCTCCGTCAGCGGGAGGATGTTGTGGAGTTAGCATGCTAACATGGAGTGAAAATACTGCAGCCATCAGAATAAACTAGTAGGCAGGACTGTGTGTCCACAAGAATATCCAGCAGAAATCAGCGGTTGCTCTCCTGAACTCACATTTATTTATTCTACTGAGGGTGTTCAGGGCTTGTCCTGCCAGAGGTTTTGGTCGTTCAGCACAAACTCACAGAGCTTATTTCATATTAAACACAAAAACAAGTCAAAATACTAAGAACATCTGATCTAAATCATAGGCTCGAGGCAGTTTGTGTCGTCAGTCTCATAAAAAAACTTCCTTCTTTATTCCTGAAAATGTGTTCAATTTTTTGTCTAAAAACTTTTAGTCTTCTGACAGAAAAACAGGACAAATCTGTTTTTTTTTTTTTTTTTTTTCCATTTTTCCCCTCATGGACCAAATTCACAGCCGTAGTAAATAAACCACTTAGCAGGAGACGTGAGGAGGCTATAATCCGGGCTTTGTGATGCTGAGAATAAGGATTTTTAATCTGTGTGAATTATTCTGACGTTTTTAATACGACGCCTCGCGGCGCTTCAGAGTAACTGTTGATCTTTCATCTTCTGTGCTGCCACGGACAGAACCTCTGAGATTTATTCATACAGACACAATTTCTCTCAGTTTCTCCTGGAGTCAAGGTCTACATTGACCCCTTCACCTACGAGGATCCCAACGACGCCATTCATGAGTTCGCCAAAGAGATAGACATCTCCTGTGTGAAAATCGAAGAAGTCATCGGTGCAGGTAAGCATCACAGAAGGACGTGGTTGTCATGGCGCTGGAGGATGGGCTCCGACAGGAGAGCCTCCACGTCCTGGTCTTGTTTAGGGAACATTCCTTCACTTGACTCGAAATGTTTCTCTCAACTCTTGTTTACCAAGTAACAATGCTGTATTTGTATCATGTATAACTGTGGAGGCGTGTGCTTAGTGACACGAATGTTCACTTTCATCAGGAAGAACCGAATTATACATAGGGATGGGTACCGAATTCTGTACTTTTTAAGGTACCGACCGAATTCCACAGTACCGACCGAGCACCGATTCACGTCATTTCAAACGGTGCCTCGTTTCGGTACCCGTCCTTCATAACGAGAACTTGCCAAGACAGCTGCGCATGCGCAAGAGCGTTATGTCGTCGGTCGCTGCGAGCGAGTTGTAAACAGAGCAGCATGGTAGAAAGAACGCACGCTAAAGCTTGGGTCCACTTCACTAAATGTGATGGGTAACTGGGTGATGATGAAACCAGCGACAACGATCTAAGTGAGACATCCTCATCTTAATCTGCTCCGGTAGGTAAATAAAATGTTTAAGATAACGTTAGCTTGATATGTTAGCTTCCGTCCTGCTAATGGTGCGTTCGCTTTCTCCTCGGAACTCCGATTTTCTGACGAGAAGAACATGAACGCGCTCTAAAGCTTGGCTTCACTTTACTAAATGCGACGGGTGATTGGGTGAAGATGAAACCAGCGACAACGATCTAAGTGTGAGGCATCATCGTTTTAATCTGCTCCAGCAGCTAAATAAACTGTTTAAGATAACGTTAGCTTGATATGTTAGCTTCCATTGCCACCGTTGTTATCAGCTAATGGTGCGTTCGCTTTCTCCTCGGAAATTCTAACTTCCCAGTAGGAAAAATCAATTGAAAAAGGACGGCAAAAGGAATGAAGACACACAGTAAATTTAGTTCACAGTAAAGATGTTTGCTTCAGTTTAATTATCAGCTTATAAAACTACAAGGACCATGTTAAAATACAAACAGTTGTATGTTATTTATCGTGATATTTATCAAATATGGTTATATATTGAGAAAAATATATATGTAATTATAAAAGTGAATTAAAATATTAAACACTCAAAAGTATCGAAAATTGGTACCGTTAAGTACCGGTATCGATTCCTAGGTACCGGGAATTAGTACCGGATCGATTCAAATGTCAAAGGTACCCATTCCTAATTATACATGTCAGCTGTTAGGTTTTAGGGTCGCCATACTTTCTGCGACTGTTTGTAATAGGTATACTTCTTTCTGCACAACACCAGCTGTCAGCAGCTTACCTTAACCAGCATTACCAATGCTACTGCTAGCAGCCTCTTCCTGTAACTATTCTGGTTCATGTTTCAGGAGCTGAAGTAAAAAATAGTTTTGCCGACAATCTTCCAACTTCCTGCTTTGTGACTCTCTTTATGGCGTCTTGGCTGCTGATTGGCTCGTATCTCTACCTCAGGTGTGCAGCGAGGCTAGGATGTTTAAAAGCACAGGTGAAAACTAAACCCTGTGACCCTTTTCCCAGGTGTTCTCCAGCTCTGGGGCGAGGGGAACAGGAAGAGCTGATGTGATGTTTAACTGGACCTCACCGCACCGTCTGGTCGTGCTCGTCCAGCTTCTGTCTCCACCTAAATGCTTTGCTTTGTCTCTCTCTCTCCCCGTCTCCGATAACGCATCCGTACTCAGGCACCTTACGAAAAACTCCCAAGTACTTTGCCCGACCTTTGTCTCCGTGCACGACTCCTAGGTTCCACTCTCGATTGATAGCAGTCACTCCCTCTCTTCCCAACGTCTTTGACCCTTGACCCCTCACCTCTCATTGATTCCTCTTCTTTTCTAAATTGGTCCCACGCTGAAGCCGACCCTCAGCTCTCTCAAGTCAACTCCTTCACTTCCCAAATCTGACCAGTAATGCTCCCTCTTCCTGCATTCCCCTCCACCTCTCCTCATCTCCCCTCTCCGCACTCAACCCCTCCCACATCAACCTCACCCCCCCCCCCTTCTCCCGCCACTTCATTCCATCGCTTCAGGTGAATTTGGCGAGGTATGCCGCGGTCGTCTCAAGCAGGCTGGGCGCAGGGAAATGGTTGTGGCCATCAAGACGCTGAAGGCCGGCTACACGGAGCGTCAGAGACGGGACTTCCTCGCCGAGGCCTCCATCATGGGTCAGTTCGACCACCCTAACGTGATCCGGCTGGAGGGCGTCCTGACCCGAAGCTGCCCCGTCCTCATCATCACCGAGTTCATGGAAAACGGAGCTCTAGATTCCTTCCTCAGGGTGAGTGCAGCAACAGATGCACGTAGGAGCACCTCTGACAGGGAAGGCTTTACTTCCTGTTGGTGTCAAAGCTGAGGGGAACAAACACAGGCAGTCAGCCACGGTACCTCTGGGTGATCAGGCTGTTTTACTCCCTGTAAAACGCCCCGAGGCGTTTACGTGCTGACTGATGGAGATTAAACGTGCAACAGAGCACTCGGAGACAGGCCCGTCGTCTTTGCCTGACGTGTCTGAGTGATGCTGGCAGCCGCTCCGATGTACAAACTCCTGCAGGAAGACTTGTCACACGCAGACCTTTGGTTGATGAGTTGGTATTAGAGGGTTCTTGTTCAACCACATTACAGATCAGAGTTCTCTGTTCAGAGCGAACCACCTACACCAAACGCTGAGCAACAGCAGGAGGTGTAATGAGATGTCACTAGGTAAACGTTCAGCTGCGTGAGGGCCATTACATGTCATTTACATTCGGTAGAGCATGTTTCCATGCACGGCTGCTCTGTGAAGGCGTCTGTCTGGTGAGGCTGGGAAGCTAAATGAGGTCATTTGGTCCTGGATATGACTCAGACGCGCTGCTTTGGGTTCCGTCAGCGACGCTGGAGCCGGTGTCATCCTCAACTCATTTGGTTTCCTCTGATCTAAAATGATGGATTGATTATGGTTTTACTGCCGGTCCTTTCCTTCTCTTTATCTTTGCATTTACCATTTATGTAGCTTATTTCAATACCTGGTTAGATGATGATGTTTTTGCCTGTCTGGTTGGTCTCCTCACACCTGGTAGACATTAGTCAACACAGTAATGCTGGAGATGTGCAGCTTACCAAATTAATGTTTCAGTCTCAGCTTTAAGCAGTTTGGTTTTGTCACATCAGTGTTTATTTAACACGTACAGCGTCAAACCGCTAGGTTCCTGGCAGGCACGACACGCAGGGAGCACGTTACTCCGGTACTGGAATTTGTGCACAGGCCCCCTGTGCACTTCATGGTGAAATTCGGTGTTAAGCTTGGTGTTTAAAGCTCTTCAGGGAACTGCTCCTCTGTACCCGGAGACTTTTGAACAGGCATTCTTCATCAAGAGCCCTCCGTTCAGCTGATATGGACTTGTAGGTGGTTTCGCGTTCCCGGTGTAGGTCGGGGGGGTCGTGCATTCTCAGTGTTGGCTCCGAGGCTGTGGAATGGTGTTTAACTGTGCGCCAGTCACCCTCATAGCTGATTTAAAATCCCGTCTGAAGATGCGTTCTTATGTCATGGCTTTCCAACAGCAGATGTCATAGCGGGCTTCTTTGTCCAGTATGTAATGTGGTCTTTTTATTGTGTTTAATGTTTTTTATGGTTGCCTTTATACCGTTTCTACATGTGTTTCCTATTGCTTCTTGTATTGCTCAGCACCTTGGGCATCCGATAAGGTTGCAGAAGGGGCCTTATAAATAAAGGGAAATGAAAAATAAATAAAAAATTAAACATGATTACAGAATTAATCGTTCGCTGAAAACCAATGACACAAAGCAACTAGGTTGGAATCAGAAGTTTTCAGCTGCTTTTTGAAGTGGCAGAGGAGTCAAGTGCCACCCTGTAGAGGATCTTCAGAAACCATGTCTGAAGGCTCTACTCTTACATCTTGTGTTTTATGTTAAAGCTAAGCTGGCAGAACGAGGGGAAAACACACTGGGGACACATGCTTTCCGTTATGAACCACAATCACTCTGTGACCCTACGTCTAGAAATATTTTTCTGTATGATTTTCTTTTCAAGCATTGGAACGTCTAAACATTATCTCCCTGTTTGTACCTCTGGGCTCCCACAGCAGCTCTTCCCTCCCTTTATAGCAGCGCTGCCCTTATCTGTTTCATATGACTGACTGATCTAGTAAAAATTGAAGTTTAGCTAGTTGGTGTTTTCAACTACTGTGTGATTTTTATGAGGTACATTTCCCATATGTGGTGGTAGATGTGTGCCTGTTGTCCTTCGGGAGTGCTGCAGGAGGACACACAGGGATTTATGGGGGTTGGATGAGGAAAACGAAATAAAGAAAGTCAATCTGTGTTTAGTGATCAGTTTAGTTTGACGTGAACACGACAAACACGCATTCTTGACAATCCCTGTCACTGTGTAAAAAAACGTGTAGAAATATAAACGAACAACGTGTGTTATTAGGGGAATAGCGGGTGAGCGGTGTTGATGCATGATTGCGCATGCACCGTGAGCGGTTCTGATACTTTTTGCGATACCCTCACGAGGGACGAGCAAAATATCAAACACGCCAGAAGTCCGTGCGAGCTCACGACTGCTGATCGGCAGCTGGTCACGTGGTGTTAATCGCCTCTCGTAACCCCCTGTACACTACACGACGCTCAGCGCAAAACTCGCCCTGATCTCGTGGATTCTCGCACGAGTGGAAAATCGGCTCAAAAAAGTGAAAAAGTCCCACAGTGTACGCCCGGCTTTAGTCTGTAAGGGCTCCTCCAGGCAGGACTATAACTCTGCTGGCTGAAAGAAAATTAGTTTTAATAAATTATAATTTGGGTCATTAATTATATATTTGTCTTTTGTTCCATGAAGTTGGCTTCTCGGAATAATGTGGCCCCTTTTATTTATTCTGTGTCAACCCAGGTTATGATGTTTCACTTAGCCATTTATAACGTGTTACGGATTTTCAGAAACACCCTGATGTTTAGGGCTGTTTAAGAAAACAATGAAACTGTGGAGAATCAGCATTTCACATTCGGGATAATTATTTTTTATTTATTTGTTTATCTGGACTACAGCCCAGTGGGCCTGACTGGGAGCTTCTTCTAGACTTTGACTCAGGGGAGTGAGATGTTCCCACGCCTGCAGCCTCACTGATGAATGGGATCTGAGATGGAGCCACTAAATATCACTGCTGATGTTTAATGCTGACTCAAAAGACCAAAACTAATCCCTTCACATTTCCAGATGTAAACCGTCTTCAACTGTGTAAAATTGTTTTAGTCCATTAGAAAAATGTGTGACTCCAGCGTTGTTTTCACAGATAAAATACGTCTCTCCTATTTGTGACCTGGACTAAATCTACTCTGCCCTTTTATTAGTCATGGGACAACTATTTAGTCGGTTTGCCTACAGAAGTGGGAAATGTGGAGATGTTAACAAGCAGGTTTTAAGATTTGGTCTTCTGTAAGCACATCCTGTGTTTTTTTATTTTTGTTTATTTGCAATAGGGGTTGTATGAACTAGTCGACTAGTCAACGTCACGGCTCTGTAGTGACTTTTTATGCCTGTCATCGACTAGTCGCTGTCACGTGATAATGAGCGACAAGATGCAGTCCTCGGAAAAGACAGCAGGTGACGAGCTCCTGCGCGTCGGGAGGCAACGCGCTGTGCCAGAGCGTCGGTACTGACACCCGCCGTAAAACGGACATTTAACCAAATTGTGACCTTTACCCTCTTGCAATTTAACCTTCCCCTCACCCCCATCCTAACCTTAACCAGCTTGCGCATGCAAAGCTCTGATCGTTGACACGCTCCAGTCATCTGCGTCCTGAGCACGGCCACAGTAACATTATCAAATCAGGTGTCGCCACCTCAAAAACTAATTTAACACGCGATCGTTCATGTCAGCTCATTTCCTTTTATGTTTTCTGTCTTTTATTTGTGCCTGATGTGTTTCGCTGCTGTGGAGCAGGGCGCATCACCTGTTTTGTCCTCCAATAACTTCACCGCACCGATGCGGCCGGCGAGCAGCGGCACTCCGCTGTTTTTGCGGTCGGTAGATCTTTTAGAACTGCAGTTCAAAGGTAACTCATGAGGTGAATATATATGAACCCAGGTAGCAGTTTTTCTTTAGGATTGAGAGGAGATGCAGGAAGATAATAAACAGGCAGGACAGAAAAATAGTCAAATAAAAACAAGTTAGTTTTTGTACCTGGTGGTTGCAACAAACAGACACCATTGAAGGTCATCAGAAGTGAGGAACAGAAAATGAAATAATTATTTTAATTGTTAGAGCAGCAGGAACTCTGAGAGGCTGCAGGCGCACTGCGCAGGGGGAGGGAGGAGAGAGCTGAAGTGGAGCAGTATAGATGCAGAAACTACCGCTGTTAAGAGATGTTTAAATTTTAAAATGTGGGCGCGATTTTAATTGTCAAAAACTCCAGCGAACCCCCACCCCCACCCCCCCCCCGCTTCAGGTGTATGACGTCATCAACGACTAGTCAAAGTCGACTCGATTTTCATTACTTGACAGTCGACTTTAAAAAAAATTTTGTCGCGCAACCCCTAATTTGCAACCAAAGGCAAACAAATACAGACCAATTTGAAATACTAACTGCTCACCTAATCTCATTTAAACCCAAAACCCAGAGGCAGATTCAGTCATTGTGGGTTTGATATTTGATTTTTGATTATTCAATGATAATAATAAACATACCTAGAATAGTAGATTCATTTGGATGTCTAAAATTACAAACTAATATATGACAGATGGAATGTTCTGTTAGATTTGGAATAATTTCATTATTAGAAAAGTCGGTCAGCGTCGTCATGCTGAAAACATGGACTTCATTCACGGACTCACCCATCTTGGCTGGCAACTGGGAAGGCTGTTGTTGGTTTAGCGTCCATGAAATAACAGTTGAGATAAAATATCAATGTTGCAAAGCGAATGGAGTCACAGGTAAAGTCACATTGCTGTTAGCCAATCAGAAGCAAGATGTCTAAATATCAGGAAGTAAGACTCTAAATTCTGCTGTCTGATGTTCAACTCTTTTGTGGCTAACTTCTACTTCCTGAAACAGGAGCACCAGAGTGTTTTCCCCCACACAAATGGACTCACAACCCTGCTGAAAAAATCTGCATGTGTTACCAGCATAAGTTGTGTTTTGGTGCTGGTTTAGCTGGTGGACCAGTATGCGGGTCCAAGTGTGGTGGTTCCGTATCTCATCACTAGCATCCCATGCTGGACTAGCATTGCGTGCTGGACCCATTGAGGCGTGACATCACGCACCCACACCCCTGCCCCCCAGCCC